CAACAAGATTGAGCAGGGTGCACGGATTTTCGACCCAAGTAAATTGACGTGTATCGCGACGGAATGGTCAAAGACTGGCATTGGATTTTGGTTGCTACAGAAACACTGCGCTTGTGCTAATGAAAGCCTGCTATGCTGTCGTGATGGTTGGAAAGTTACACTCGTTGGTAGTCGGTTCACACATGCGGCAGAGACGCATTACGCGCCGGTTGAGGGCGAGGCCATGGCAGTAGCAGATGCCCTTGATAAAGCTCGACACTTCGTTCTTGGGTGCGACAACTTGATCATAGCTGTTGATCATAAGCCATTGTTGAAGTTATTTGGCGATAGATCACTGGAAACATTCCTAACAACAGACGTCATAACCTTAAGGAGAAAACACTACGATACCGTTTTCGAATGCTTCATGTGCCTGGCATACGTCATCGTGCTGCGGATTGTATCTCCCGACATCCTATTGGTGAGCCTGAGAAACTTGTGCGTTAGAACCACTACTACCAGCGATGACAACATGCAGGCGTTAATCGCTCTGATAGAGGCCGGTATACCAGGAACCCGTCACGAGCTGCCTAGGCCACTGCAAGAATATTTCCCAATCCGCGACGACCTAATAAAGACAAAATAGTCATTCCACCATCACTCTGGGAAGAAACCCTTGCCTCTCTGCATTCGGCACATCAAAGGGTGACATCTATGACTTCAAGAGCTGATGCGTCAATCTTCTGGCCTGGTATCACGCCTGCCATCGCCTCCCTTCGCGCAACTTGTAACCACTGCAACCGTATTGCTCCATCTAACCCGAATGCACCACCGACGCCTTTGATAACTCCTGACTATCCATTCCAATGCATGTGTGCAGATTTCTTCCACTACATAGGCTGTAATTACCTAGTGGTAGTTGATCGTTATTCCAACTGGCCGGTAGTGAAGAAAGCCTCTGATGGTTCCAATGGTTTAATAGACTCAGTCTCCGAAGGACATTTGTTACTTTTGGTATCCCTGATGAACTAGCATCACATGGTGGACCCGAGTTCACTTCTGCGGCCACACGTCGATTTCTCAGGAACTGTGGCGTTCACCATAGACTGTCATCTGTAGCTTTTCCCCATAGTAACTGCCGTGCTGAAGTGGGAGTCAAAACAGTGAAGCGTCTGATCACTGGCAACACCAGTCCCAATGGCGACTTAAACACCGACGCATTCCAACGCGTTATTCTCCAGTATCGAAACACACCTGACAGAGACACAAAACTATCCCCTGCTATGTGCGTGTTTGGTCGTCCTATACGAGACTTTATTCCTATGCACCCGGTCGGTTATGGCAAGCCAAGTTGTCATTTATGTATGGAGCAATGTTGATCCAGTACTTAACGAAATTACATAAGATATCTTCTTTAATTATATAAGATATCTTATATACTTTATGAGATATCTTATATACTTTATAAGATATCTTATATAATAAATGAGATATCTTATATATTTTATAATATATCTTATATACCTTCCTTTATAAGATATCTCATAAAAGATATAAGATATCTTATATATTATATAAGATATCTCATAAAAGATATAAGATATCTTATAAAGAAAATTAAATGAGATATCTTATATCTTTTAGAAGATATCTTATATAATATATAAGATATCTTATAAACAAAATTAAATGAGATATCTTATATAATTCGGTTATAAGATATCTTATAAAGAACGAGATTTGAATTTGAGATAATAAANTGGCAACACCAGTCCCAATGGCGACTTAAACACCGACGCATTCCAACGCGCTATTCTCCAGTATCGTAACACACCTGACAGAGACACAAAACTATCCCCTGCTATGTGCGTGTTCGGTCGTCCTATACGAGACTTTATTCCTATACCACCCGGTCGGTACATTCCACACAACACTTGGCTGGAGACTTTAGCAGCTCGCGAGGAGGCTTTACGGAATCGTCACATGCGAGAAAGTGAACGTTGGTCTGAACACACCAAACGCCTCTTACCTCTTGAAGTTGGAGATCATGTACGCATCCAAAATCAAGTTGGTCTTCACCCCCTTAAATGGGACAAGACTGGAATCATTACGGAAGTTCGCCAGTTTGATCAATATGTAGTTCGGGTTGACGGATCTGGCCGTGTTACCTTACGCAACAGGAAATTCCTCAGGAAGTATATCCCAGTTGTTACACCACCAGCGCGCTACACAATTGACAATTAAATTGGACTCTCCCATCGTACGACGTCTCCTGCTTCTAACGCCCCAGACACCATCGTCGGTGAAGAAAGCAACCCTCCCCGTAAGGATACGAGTCCTCCACCATCCACTCCGCTGACTACTAGAACCATACAACGTTCGCCTCGTTCATCATCTGAGGTTGATCACCCTTCACCACCATTTGGTATTCGAGACATCTTCAGTCGACGTCATCTAGCGTTTGATTCTCCTGCAACCCCAGTGAGCAAAATCGACCCAACGTTGTATGACAATGTGTCGGCCCAACGTTGTATGGCCGTTATAGAAAACAATGTGTCAGCCCAACGTTGTATGACAATGTGTCGGCCCACCGTTGTATGGACGTTATAGACATCAGTCTTTGTTCCTAGGACTAATACGAGTGACCCTATTACTCGCGTGTACCAAAGACTTGGGGGAGATTTCTTAATAATTTTCATTCAACGTTGTATGGACGTTATATAGAAAACAATGTGTCGGCCCAACGTTGTATGACAATGTGTCGGCCCAACGTTGTATGGCCGTTATAGAAAACAATGTGTCAGCCCAACGTTGTATGACAATGTGTCGGCCCAACGTTGTATGGACGTTATAGAAAACAATGTGTCAGCCCAACGTTGTATGGACGATACAGAAAACAATGTGTCGGCCCAACGTTGTATGGACGTTATAGAAAACAATACGTCGGCCCAACGTTGTATGGACGTTACAGAAAACAATGTGTCGGCCCAACGTTGTATGGACGTTATAGAAAACAATGTGTCGGCCCAATGCGGTATAGACGTTGTAGAAAACAATTTATCACATACCTATATATGTAATCTTACAATAGTAATACAACAATTTTCTGTTGATGTTTTCTGTCGGTTTGTATCATGTGTGATACAAGATGTTGTATCTAGCCGGAACTACTTTTTATGGGAATCCCCTTGTCATGGCGAACTGAGAAGTTCCCGGTATTTGCAAAAAATATCAAAGTTTATGAAAGTGTGTGGTCTTGCATATGTGTCGGTCCAACGTGATAACGACGTTATAGAAAACAATACGTCGGCCCAATGCGGTACCGACGTTGTAGACAACAATGTGTCGGCCCAACGTGGCACCAGCGTTGCATAAATCCCAGCTTAAACGAAATATATTATTGTAAAATATGCAACAATGTCGGTCAAACGCTGGCATACCCTTATTAAACCGGCGTTTCGATGTCGGCCCAATGTGGTTCCGACGTTGCATAAAGCACTATATCGGCCCAACGTAGTACCAGCGTTTTAAAGTCGCCAACTTTAAACAAAATATATTGATATATAAAATTGCTAGTTATGCAACTATGTTGGTCCATTAATGTATTAACGTTGTTAAACCGACCATGTAATTTATATTTTATTCAGACATCAAAAATCACATTTCTAGTGGTTTTACAAACAAATGCCCAATATTCCCCTATCATGAAATTTAACCCGGATAAGAAATTTCGGTATACATGTACATATAGTTTAGTTTGTTTGGGTTTTACGTCCTATCACGGAATTAGATTAGTTATCTAAGTCCGTGGTCCTATTAACAGTTATGGTAATTTGAGGACGTGCCAGGTTTTGGTGCCAGCAAGTTCAGTCAAATTCTGATAATTACATCACAAGATATTGCACGGAAAACTCTCAGCCAATCAGAACTGAGTAAAGAATTTGCTTAACACTGAATCTCAGCAAAATCCTACGTAAGTTTTATACCAGGCTAAGTTTATCAAAATTTGATGAACACCGACCTCCGTCAGTGATACGAAACCCGTATGGGTGGAGTCATGTAGGCCAACCAGCCAGAATTCGATCATACTACAATGAAAGAAAATATTGCCATCAAAACGTTTCTGTCTCATTGAAATGGCACAGACTTTGCCAAAAATCAAATCCCTCATAAGGTACATTTGTATCACGCAGACTACATTCAAACAATCGGGCTGCAGCAGGCCAGCGTCATTCAATATGCACATAGGGACTCGAGTAAGTAGTTCATTATTCAAGAAAGAAGTTAAATCAAAATCCAGTCATTCTACCGTAAGATATTGTGCGGAAAGCAACCACCTAATCAGAATGCAAATGCCCAGATATTGTCGATCTCCAAATAATATAATAATAATAATAATAATATACAGCATTTATATAGCGCCCTATATAATTTGTAAAATTACTCTCAGGCGCTTTACAACATATGGATAATAGGAATGGTTATAATTGTGAAAACAAACAGCAAAACAGAGACTTGCGTAAGCAGTACATCAGGCAAGTTTGATCAAAATCCAACCTTTCTTTCATGCGATGGTAAAACATGGACGGACATTCTGATTAATATAAGTTCAGACTATATCACGTCATTTCATTAAAACATTATATATAGCTTCTTGTTCGTGTCAGGTGAAACCCAGTGTGTAAAAATGATATACATTCTTTTAAGTTGTACAAAGCAATAAAACCATGTAAACTGCTATGCATATACATCTTTGGTGCATTAGCTATATCTTATCAGTATAACTATTTTTGTATTTTATGCAGTCACTGTATCTATAGTATCGATATTGAATTATTTTTTCCTTTTTTTATGATGTTTTTTTTTTTAATCACAATTGAAATATTAGTTACAAATAATCTTGTAAAAAACGTTTATCAACATAACATATTTTTTAAGAAAACACGATAAAAGTCACGGATTCATGTAAAATGTATCCGGCAAAAAAGTCCGTATTCCGTCCCGGACATTAGGTATATTAAGGCATCTGAGTTGTCTGAACGCTTGTACGCCGACAAAACATCATTCTGTCTTTGTCTACTTTATATTCCCAGGTAACACGCATCAGAATGGGGAAGAAGCATAAAAAGCATCACAAATCGGAGCGACGACAGCGTGAAGGTAATACTACAACTATTTCCGTTTTAAGAAATAACGCGCAGTTTCTAAGTTAACGTTAAATCGACATAAAAATCAGCTTCATCGCATTTTTGTCGTTCATCTGTTTACTGAAATGTTGAACACATCATCTGTACATAGATTGTGTAGGTATATACTGTACTGCTTCCTTACCTGGTTGGTGATTTTCTAAGGGTTTATTTTGTGTATATCTAATGATGATTTGTTTAACGTGTGCACGACTGAAATCAATACTTATATATTATATCTGACAGGGGAGATAACTTGTGATCTTACGAATACATGTTGTTCTGTTTGTCAATTATTGCTTTATTGTTAATTACTTAGTAGATGTGGTTGAAAGACATTTGCCAGTTTTTTTCTTCCTAAAGTATGAGGGGGAAAAATAAATATTGTTTTATTTTTTTTATAAATTATTGATGAATAAAACAGCTTTTCAGGTCTGGTTAATATTTTGCTTACTTGTTTTCTTTTACTTGCTGATTTAGTGGAACCAGAAGAAGTGGCTGAGCCACCCTCTTTGAAGATTGTGTTGAAGAAGTCGAAGATAGAAGTGCTTGAATCGGACAGTGATATGTACAACCAGAGTCCTGCCAGGGAGACCAGCAGCAGTGGTAAAAAACATAAACACAAGAAAAAGAAGAAGAAAAAATCCAGTGACAGAGATAAGAGTCGCCATAGAGATGAGGTAAAAATCAAAATCAAAGTTAAGAATATGTAACCCACTCAATATATCTGTCGTTTGTCATCAATGTTTCCATTGAAATGTCAGCAAATCTGAATTATTTAAAAAAAAAAAAATCCAAATCAGATGCTGACATTCATGGATTGGTCTAAGCTTTGTAATAATCCAATAAACTATTTATGGATAGTTTTTCCTGTAAACTGCCTGAATCCTAGAAACTTAAAATAATAATAATATAATATACCGCATTTGATATAGCTCTCTATCTAGCTAGAATAAGCCATTCTTATAGCGCTTTACAGTACATAGATATACAATTGTTGGAGGGAACGTCTTTGTAAATACAATGTACTGATACTTATTTTAGGGGAAATCAAGAAAACGCCATAGAGAAGAAACTGAGGAAGAGTTAGAAGTTTCACAGGAAGAGGAGGTGCCAGTTATAAAGCGACAAGTTTTGGAAGACGTTGAGCTAGGAGGAACAGCTGGAGAGGAGTCTGAAGCAGCAGAGGAGAAGTCTGACAGGGGAAGTGCTACCCCGACATCACAGGGCGCGGCGGATCATGGTGTACTGCGGATCTGTCTGAAGCATATACATAGCAACCTTCAGAGGTGTGTAAATATAACATTTGATATTGTCAATATTAAGAAAAAATAATCAAAACTGTCATCCCTTTTTTATACGACCGTCAAATTTGACGGTAGTATTATGGTATGGGGTTGTCCGGCCGGCGTAAACTTTGTTTGTCCGACAATCTCCTCCTACATTTTTCGACTGATCTATTTGAAACTTGGTATACATTATAATCATGATATGAAGTTGTGTCTCCCTTAAAAGAATTTTGATTCGACAATTTTTGCAAAAGTTATTGCCCTTTGTTTATTTCAGTATTTGAATTTTGTCCGGTGATCTCCTCCTACATTTTTCGACCAATCCCTTTGAAACTTGGTATACATTATAATCATGATATGAAGTTGTGTCTCCCTTAAAAGAATTTTGATTTGACAATTTTTCCAAAAGTAATTGTCCTTTGTTCATTTCAGTATTTGAATTTTGTCCGGAGATCTTCTCCTACATTTTTCGACCGATCTGTTTGAAACTTGGTATACATTATAATCATGATATGAAGTTGTGTCTCCCTTAACAGAATTTTGATTCGACAATTTTTCCAAAAGTAATTGTCCTTTGTTCATTTCAGTATTTGAATTTTGTCCGGAGATCTTCTCCTACATTTTTCGACCGATCTGTTTGAAACTTGGTATACATTATAATCATGATATGAAGTTGTGTCTCCCTTAACAGAATTTTGATTCGAAATTTTTTTCAAAAGTTATTGCCCTTTGTTCATTTCAGTATTTGATTTTTGTTCAGAGATCTCCTCCTACATTTTTCGACCGATCTCTTTGAAATTGGTATACATTATATCATGATATGAAGTTGTGTTTCCCTTAAAAGAATTTTGATTCGACAATTTTTTCAAAAGTAATTGCCCTTTGTTCATTTCAGTATTTGATTTTTGTCTGGCAATCTCCTCCTACATTTTTCAACGGATCTCTTTGAAACTTGGTATACTTTATAATCATGATATGAAGTTGTGTCTCCCTTAAAAGAATTTCTATAGCATATCAGCTAACCGCTCTTAGAATGATGCAGATCTAATTTCAATGTAAGAAAGTATATAACACTATATGGCATTCGAGGGGTGTATTTTGTTCCGCCCCGTGATACTCTTGTGTCCTTTTGTTTTCTTAAGCTTTGTTCAATTAAGCTAGCCATGATTTAAGTTTTAAAAAATGGGGATCTAAGGTAATAACAAAGATAAATATCTTCTGTTTTTGACCTATTATGATTTATTATCTTAATGAATGCAAAACAAAAAGAGAAAAAAATCTGACATTTTTTTTGTGTCAAACTTGACTTTAGTAACATAATACTAATCTTGGCCAACATTGTACTGAATGTACATCATTGAAACTCAGAATTCTGTTGAATTAGGCTTCATGTAGATATAAGCTTTTTGATATGTATATCAAATTAAATGTCCTTAAAAGTGTTAGCTGAAAGTTTTTGTAAATACTATGGGAGGTTGATAAATTTTAGTCCAAGGTCATGTTTATTTTCTCAATTTATTAACTTCAATGAAAATATCACAAGTTTACCTGGTACACTGTTTTCAAATATTATTTTAATTTGACATTTAGCTGATTAAGCTTTATTCAAATTAGTTGTAGAGTGTCATGGTGAAATTTGGAGCCAACAGAACAAGTAAAGGTTTAGGTTATTTTACCTGTCCTGGCACAATATGACTACCGGTATTGAATATTTATAAGCTGAAAAATATATATGATTACTTTTGTAGGAAAGATGCCAATGGTTTTTTCGCCAACCCTGTCAATGACATGATTGCCCCAGGGTACTCACTCATCATTCTTAATCCCATGGATTTCAGTACAATGTTGGCCAAGATCAATACATTTAAATATAGGAACGTTATGGAGTACAAGGTGGGTATGATGTAATCGTGACTAAAAAAAGATGATTCTAATGAACAAAAAATTAAAAAAAGGGCAGTCAAATATCTTTGTAATTGTACATGTTAATTGACATGAATTAAATATGGTTTAAACTAACTAAAAAAAGGACAAACAATTTTATATAAAGATAATTTTACAAATAAAATTAGACTTTAAAACTTGTTTTGAAATCTTCTTGGGGGGGGGGGGGGGGGGGGGGGGGATTGCAGAAATCTGTGAAGGGTCATCTCAACAAATTAAAATAAGGAAAGTAGGATGACAATTAATCCTGCATCTTTATTTGGTTTTGATTTGAAATTAATGTTTTTTTAATGCTTTTGCCTTCGGTAGATAATTTCAAAATGTATTGCGTTTAATTGTAAATAGCTGTTATTAATCATAATTTGCAAGGCAATCGATTTTGTTAATATTCTTTTCCAACCATAGTTAAAGATGACTATTGTTGTGTTGAGTTGATATCATTATAGATATTTTCGTTCATAAATCATTTAATAATTTTCAATCCCTTTTGCAGAAAGATTTTGTGCTCATGTGTAATAATGCCATGACATATAATAGACCAGAGACAATTTACTACAAGGAAGCAAAGAAACTTCTTCACATCGGAATCAAAATGATGTGTAAGGTAGGTCATTTCTAGTCTCTTCTCTACATTTGATTTTGTCTCCAGTACTTGCTTCGACCTAACAAGTGTCTTATCTCTTAAAAGCATTACTTATCTTTTTATCTGGTTCAAACATCCCATTCCTTCACCATGATTTACCAAGTACTATTTGTATATGCCTGTCAAATTTGACGGAAGTATTATGGTATGGGGTTGTCAGTCCGGCGTAAACTTTTGTTTGTCCGGTAATCTCCTCCTACATATTTCGACCGATCTCTTTGAAACTTTGGTATACATTATAATCATGATATGAAGTTATGTCTCCCTTACAAGAATTTCGATTCGACGATTTTTGCAAAAGTTATTGCCCTTTGTTCATTTCAGTATTTGATATATTTTTTGTCCAGAGATTTTCTTCTACATTTTTTATAGCATGTCAGCTAACCACTCTTAGAATGATGCAGATCTTATTTAAATGTAAGAAAGTATATAACACTATATACTAATATAGCATTCGAAGGGCATATATTGTTCCGCCCCGTGGTACTCTTGTTGACATTTATTTCTGGCTTTTTGTCTCCCCATGTTTTTAATTTGGATGACTCAAAAAATATGTGGTTCTCAAACTTTCCCCAAAATACTTTTTTCACAGGAAAAGTTGTTGTTTATGAAGAGGACCGTTCCTTTCCTGGCTAGTTTACGTAATGAAGAACTAGGAATTGATGAGCCAGACGAGACGAGGGAGGTAATAGAGGCTATTCAGGAAGAGGAACGGCAGGAGAAGAAGAGGCTGAAGGCCCGTGAAGGGTAGGTGTCTGGGTGTAAAATTCCATCAGTCCCTACACCCAGTACTATAATAAACTTCTATTTCAGTGGCTAGTGAAAAGATTTATCACCGGTATTAACTATGAAATTATAAGTATGCTTGAAGAATTTTTCAACGTCTGTCTGTGGGCTAGTACTTCAAAGTCTGTCTGTGGGCTAGTGCTTCAATGTCTGTCTGTGGGCTAGTACTTCAATGTCTGTCTGTGGGCTAGTACTTCAATGTCTGTCTGTGGGCTAGAACTTTAATGTCTGTCTGTGGGCTAGTACTTCAATGTCTGTCTGTGAGCTAGTACTTCAATGTCTGTCTGTGGGCTAGTACTTCAATGTCTGTCTGTGGGCTAGTACTTCAATGTCTGTCTGTGGGCTAGTACTTCAATGTCTGTCTGTGGGCTAGTACTTCAATGTCTGTCTGTGGGCTAGTACTTCAATGTCTGTCTGTGGGCTAGTACTTCAATGTCTGTCTGTGGGCTAGTACTTCAATGTCTGTCTGTGGGCTAGTACTTCAATGTCTGTCTGTGGGCTAGTACTTCAATGTCTGTCTGTGGGCTAGTACTTCAATGTCTGTCTGTGGGCTAGTACTTCAATGTCTGTCTGTGGGCTAGTACTTCAATGTCTGTCTGTGGGCTAGTACTTCAATGTCTGTCTGTGGGCTAGTACTTCAATGTCTGTCTGTGGGCTAGTACTTCAATGTCTGTCTGTGGGCTAGTACTTCAATGTCTGTCTGTGGGCTAGTACTTCAAATACGAAATGTTAGGCTCCTGTTTGTTATACCTGTTAATGAATTGTTGAATAATTATATACAAGTTGGTAAAAAAGGTTATTGGTAAAAAACTCAGATTTTTTTTAAATGCTTGTGAAACATCACTCTGATGCATTGGCCGTCTTTCTTAAAATGTTGATTAGTTGTGCTATTCTTAATTTCTATTTTACAGTTGCACCTTCTGCCATAAAATTTAAGGTTATAGCCCTTTGGTTATAATTTTTTGACACCGAGTTCGCTAACTTTTAATTATCACCTTCACACTCACTGTTAAGATATCATTCTAATGGTTGTTACAAGAATGCCAATGGCAGATCCAGAAATTAGTTGAAACTACTTATGTGTTTTGTTTTAGAATTGGGAGATACGAGGCTCTACCTGATAACATGACACCGGAGGAAATCCTTGCGCAGGCCAAGGCGGCTGCTAAAGATGCAGCAGACATGTTAACATTACGTAAACCTGACAGTAAAGTAAGCGTTGGTGACGGACAGCACTCTTTACAGTTTTCTCTACAGTATAAAAGAAACTCTTAACTAAACAGAAAGGAAAACATAAATAAATTAAGAAATTATCATTATTACATCTTGTATTTGTAAAGTGATGCATACGGCCAAAAAAAACCCCTTGTGTTTCTGCTATCATCCTCAGACTATTACTATGCTTATATAGAGCAGGAGACTTTAACAGTGCATATCCAATTATCACTAAATGCCAATACAAAGTTTAGGGAAGGCACAAAAATCAAGGGTATGTAGAGTAAGTGGAAACACAAGATTCTTTTTATTCAGCCTTAGTTAATATTGATGTTAAGTAGTTAAAGTTACCTGGTAAGAATGATTGTTTGATGAAAACAAAATTGGATTTATCATTTTGTGATTAGCTCACAGCAGTATGATCCTAAAAATTGCTTGAAAAAGGTAAATAGGATATTTATTTCCTCATTGTCATTATTACTACAAGTTAATTATATAAGCATTCAATGATTTTTTTCCAATTAAGCATGATGAAAGATATGAAAATTATATTTTATTTGGCTGGTGAAAGAACATGATAGTTGTGACCTGTTGTTTTTCTGTTCAACAGTTTGGATTCTTACGACAGAGAGATGATGGCAGTACCTCGCTAAATATAATGAATCCTGAAAATGATGGAACAGGTATGGCCATTCAAAGATTAGTTGAAAGGGTATAAAATACAGGTATTTTACAATGAGGAAGACATAACGGGGGGGGGGGGGGGGGGGGGGGGG